TTTTTGGTCTTTTTGAGACAGGGTCTCCCTGTAGCCCCAGCTGTCCTGGAACTCACTATGTAGACCAGTCTGGCCTGGAACTCACAGAGATCCGCCTGCCTTTGCCTCCTGAGTGCTGGGATTAAAGGTGTGTGTCGCCTTTTGTTTTTTATCTTCACAGTCTAACTCAGGGCTCCGTATTTCAGTGTGTCCCTGATCATTCTTCATTTGTTCACCCCACATTTTATTGCTTATCTACACATGTACTAGACACCACAGTCATTATAGCCACAGCTTTGAGCAAAACATTCCTAGTCTGTGTTATCTCAAACAGTATGAAAATCAATTGTGATGGCTTATGCCTATAATCCTAGCACTGGGGAGACTGAGGCAGAAGGATTACTGTGAGTTTATGGCAAGCCTGTGCTACATAGTAAGTTCCAGGCCAGCTCAGGCTACAGAGTGATTCTATGTCTTCAAACAACAAAACAGTAGGGAAAACACTGACTGTAATAAAGTACAAACAGTGATGTGGGAAGGGAGTTCAGAGTGCTGACAATGTTCCCTTGTGTTAGGAGAACCACCAAAAATAGAATGTTTTGCCTTTAAGACCTGCACAAGCAAATCCCTCCCTGTCTGGAGCTCATTGTACCCCACTGTCCCCAAGGCCCTGTTCACTCCTCCCTGGGGTTTTTGTCCCTCCCCCAGCATCATGTAACTGTCTTGAACTTTGCAGTTATTCTGATGCTCAGCGTTCCAACTTCAGCACACAAGCCAGGTCCTTGAGAAAGCCCTCCTTGAATCTTCCAGTCTAAGCAAAGTTCATGTAGCTGCTTGGTCATGTAGCTGCTTATATTTTTCCTCATCTGTTTACCATTTGTAATTTTATATGCTTTTATGATTAAAGTCTCCTTCCCTCAGGGGACTGTATGACACTTGGGGCCAGTCATATTGTATTTCTCACTATGTAGCACAGTATCCTGTCCATAAAGAGTGTGCAGCAAATCTTGCTGATCAGTTAAATGAATAAATGAATGGATATAATGTCCCCATCATTAAAGCCAGAAAGGGGTCAGGGGAGGAGAGGATGAGAAAGGGCAAGGATGTGGAATCAGACTTGTAAACGCATGCCCATGTACATTAGAATAGTTAAGTAGCAGTGCATGACCTTGAGAGTAGGCTGTTGCTTGTATTAAAGAAGCAGATTCTTTTATTCAAACTAACTTGAGAATTGAACTTTAAATGAGTTGGTTAAATAACAAATAGTTCTTCAAAATTAAACTAACTGTGTGTCTTATTAATTCCACAGAGTTCAGTTCTGGGTAATGCTTCTCACTTCCTCCTTCAGAATCTTTCTCATGTACCCCTGGCACAGCAACAATTAATGAAGTTTGACAATGTCCATACTAATAATGTAAGTATTTCTTTTCCTCTTGAGATGAGTTCATTCCTTTTGAGGACTTGGCCCATTGATGAGGTTGTAAAGTTTCACATGTGTATCCTTCTTTACTAGGCTCTATCTTTCCACCATGGGGCGCTGTCTTCCTCTCTCCCCTTCTTTTGTAGAAGCCCGGCTTACTGGGAGAGCCTCCCCCGATGGTGTTGCAGCCTGCCCTGGCAATAGGGCCATCGCTTCCACTGAAAACGGACCTGGGACACCATGGAGAAGCACACAAAAGTAAATGATGTGTATTTACCAAGAAGCCAGGAAGCAGTCAGCTTTGAGATTTAAAGATAGTTGGTCTGTATTCCTCTTTTATTTATAGGAAGATTAAATTTGAGTCGTGGTCACTTAAAATTTCAAGAGCTCTCTTGGCTTGTCTGGTTTGATTTTGATACGTTATTGATGGACTTCCATGCCAAGATGAGATGGTCCCTGCTGGATAAGGTTTAATGTTATGCAGGTGCACAGCAGCACCAGGTGAAGACATAGCTCCATTTGAGGCCAACATGCTGCCCCCTCGGCCCATAGCATATCACTTGTGTCTCCATTGAAATTTCAGCTGGATAAGAAACCCTCAGCTCTTCCAAAAGGAATTAACTAGCTCTTCTAAATTTAAAGTCTGTTGACTTGAATTGTTTTTAAGTTATATCTTCAAATTAGTACTTGGAGAAAACTGTGATATATGTGATGGACATGTGACAGAACATTTTTCATTTTAGAAAAATAGAAACATGATATTACACCAGAATTTCTTATTTTATTGAGAATTTGAAAATGTTTTTCAGTTTGAAGTTTAATTGAAAGCTTGGTTAGATGGAGACCAACTTCTCTGTTGACTCTGATCTCCCGTGTAAGCAATTAGGAAAGCTACAATCTCCCCTTGAAAAGTCTTAAAAAACTTTTTAATAAACTCCAACTCTGCTTCATACTGGCTCATCCTGAAATTCTTTTCTGTGTCAAGGCCAACAATTCAGTTTTACTTGAGTCAGGGTCTCTGAACAATTAAGGGAACTCTTCAAGTTGCTATGGGTAACAGTGTGGAACCAGGTCCCTGTCACTGCCACCACTGACACGCTGACCTGTTACCCAATCACTTGGTGAGTTTGTCAAGAGACCAATTAACAGAGAATTCCCAACTATTCCTGGGGATTCAACTCAGCTTGGTCCCTCTTCCTTCCTTCCTTCCTTCCTTCCTTCCTTCCTTCCTTCCTTCCTTCCTTCCTTCCTTTTTTTGAGTCAGGATCTCCCCGAACTCACTATGTAGACCAGGATGGCTTCAATTTCACAGAGATTAGCCTGCCTCTGCCTCCCAAGTGCTGAGATTAAAGGCATGCGCCACCATGCCTGGCAACCAGCAGCCATTTAAAAGACACACAAACATGGCTAACATATTTAGTCTCTTATACATAAAAGCAGCTAATCAAATGACCAAATAATGCAGTCAGTTCTTACTGTTGAAACTGACCAGGCAATATTTAAATCAGTAAAGAAATTTCTCAATATGGTGGAGTCTGTCATTCCAGAAATGAAACTTTCTGTGACTTAAAGCTGTGAAAATGTTTATTCCTTTCATTAACATTAAATAATACGTGATTTGCTGTCATTTGCTGTTTTAAGTGAACTGAAAATTCAGTGTCTAAATAAATATATTGCTAAAAGATAGAAAAACCAAGTATCTATCTCCAAATATGTAGTATTAAACCTTGACTAAGAATTTGTTTACTGAGTTTGTAAAATGAAAATTGGACTTAATTATCAAAATTAGCTGGTTTCATTTAATTTTTGTTTGTTGTTTGGTAGGCTTATTTTAAGATAGGACCTCATTCTGTTTCCTAGGTTGGTCAGATAACCCTCCTGTCCAAGCCCCAGGACAGTCAGGCGGTGCATGTCACCATACCTGGCTAACCTGTACATGTTTATTTAGTTTTAATTTTTAAATTACATTTATTTATTTGTGTGCCTTTGTGTTCGTGTGCATACACTTATACCACAGCATGTTAGTGAAAGTCGGAGGTTAACTTTCAGGGGTCAATTCTCTCCTGCCGACTGGGTCCCAGGATTTGAACTCAAGTGGTCAGCCTTGGTGACAAGTGCCTTGACTCACTGAGCTATCTTACTAGTCCTGACCTATAGATTCTTAAAAAGTGGGAGGATTCCTAATATTCCCATGAAAAGTTTTATTTCTTTCAGAACTTTATAACCTATGAATAAAAATGTAAAACTTTTGTTGATTTAGTGTTTATCTATTGCTAATTATTAACTTAAAAATCAACAACAATGGTAGTGTGGTATTGTTTCAATACTAGCTCTCTAGGTTATAAAACGGTCTTGTCTTGATTTATATTATTTTTGGACTTCAAGTTACCAGTGTGAAGACATTGAACTCAAGTTGAGAAGAGATATGTGCACCCAGCTCTCATTGCCTGATAAAGACCAGCCGAGCAAACTAAATGTCATAAAACCTTTCACACTCTAGACTTAATTGTTCTCTTCAAATAAAAATACAACTAAATTGCAGTTGCAAGACTTTGTTTTTTTCTGAGACAAGGTCTCACTATGTAGCCCCAGCTGGCCTGGAACTTGATATGTAGAGCATCCTGGTCTGGCCTCCATCTCAGAGCAATCCACCTGCCTCTGCCGCCAGAGTGCTGGGATTAAAGGCATGTAGCACCACACTTGACTGATAGGCATTTTTTAAGTACTGATACAGTTTAAATGTTAAGAAAATATTCTAAATATTCTAAATCTTCTAAAATATATAAATTTTCTAAATCTTCTAAAATCTTCTAAAATATATAGTTAAAATACTATCAAAAATGTATTATTGAGATTATTCTAGAAGTGGTTGAAAGAAAAAAAGCGTCATTGCTGTTTTTGTTTTCTCGTGAACATATGACCTCTGACCTCACCTTTTGAACCAAACACTTCAGGTGTGTACTGAGAAGACTATTGTGTCTCAACTCACTAACATTCTCTTACCTCTGTGGCATCTAATCTGATTCCAGCGCAGACAACACTAGCAGCTGGGCTGGGCATCATACCGTTCTTCCCCAACCAGCTCAAGGCTGGACAAGCCGGGCCCGGGCACGGGACCCCTCAGGAGAAGCAGGCGGCCTCGGTGGGGATCACAGAAGCCAATTTCTCTGGGTCACAGCATTATCTGCAGAGCTTTTCGGGCCTTCCTGCTGGAGGCCTGCTAACCGGCCACCAGAAGATGCAGCAAAGCCAGCCAAAGGGCACAGAGGTAGGCTTGGGGACAAGGGAGCACACAGGTAAAGGTCGTTCCTTGTGGCTACCTTTCAATCCCTGAGCTGTGGTGGTGTCCCATCTCACTCGTTGATTTTCTTCAGTGACTGTCCCCACTCTAATGGCTTAAGCCCCTCTGAGCTATGCCTCCAGTTGGAATTTCTCTTAAACTATCTTAATCACTGTACTACTATGAATTTCTTACGGGTAGAATCTCTGTCATACTCATTTTAATATTACCAGTCAGGAAGCATAAAATGAATGAATGAACATATCTACATGTCTTTGACATATCACAAGCAAACCTTGACTTCTTTGAGGTTTATGAAAATACATAAAAGACAGATTCCTCTGTGCAGTGCAGCAGTGTTGGCTGGGAAAGGAGCAGAAATGTGAGGAGCTGTGGTTCTCGATACAAAAATAAGCACTAGGATATTGCTTTCTTCATTGTGCTTAGGGGAAAAAAATAAATAAAAATCAATTTAAAAGGAAAATTAAGTTACTAGCTTTATCTTACCTTATGTTAACTGGAATTGTGTGAGTTTAAAATCTTTATGATCAGAGAGTAGTAAAATGTAAAAAAATCCATCAGGAAAGTGCAAAGACTAACAAAGAATCGGACCGTGGTCTTTTTCCTGTCACGTTTATTAGAATCTTTGTACCTGCCCAGTTATGTGAAAACATAGTGAAACCATTAATTTCTGAGAAATGTTAATGTCTAACATTGTCATCTAAGCGTTATTTTGCTGATCTGTTTTGCTCCATATTACAAAATAACTTTGCTTTTGTCATTTGGTTTCAGTCCCATGATATGAAATTTAAATCTTAATAATAAATATTAGTGACTGTCTTTCTAGAAATGAGGTATAGAATTTTCTGGTAAAGATAATCTGCAGAACTGCAAGTGAGAAGATTGGGGAAGATGCTTTAGGCTCTATTTCAATTTTAAAATTCTGTGGTTCTAGAGTAGCTTAAACATCCTGAAAGAAGCCAGGTGTGGTGGCACACGCCTTTAGTCCCAGCACTTGGGAGGCAGAGGCAGGCGGATCTCTGAGTTCAAGGCCAGCCTGGTCTATATAGTGAGTTCAGGCCAGCTGGGACTACAGGGAGACCCTGTCTCAAAAAGATAAAAAAAGAAATCCTGAAAGAGCAATAACAGTGGATATGCTCATTTCAATAGCAAACATTTCATAAGTTTCTATTACCAAAGATTAGGGACCACACGTTATCACACTAGACTAGATGCATTGGAAAAATAAATCTTTCTGTGTTTTATTTTGCTGAGTATATTTTAAATAATCATAAACTAACTGTACAGAATGGTAGATTTCATTGTGATGTCTTCACACATGCATGTGGCATACTTTGGCGGTGTCCATCTTCCTTTATCTTTTATACTTCTCATTAAGCACCCCATCTTTTGTTTTTGATGAACAGGCTACCTTGAAGAGTCAGACTTCACTCTTGGGAGAGCCACCAAAAGAAATTCGGCTCAGTAAAAATCCATATTTGAATCTGGCTAGCGTGTTACCCAGTGTGTGCTTACCACGTAAGTGAGGACTTCAAGTCAGCATTGCAGTGTTCCTGAAGACTCTGTTTTACTTTCTTTTCAACTTAGTGGAAGCATATGATGCCTGTTGACAAAACTAACCCCTAAGCCATGATCCCACTCTTGAATAATGATTCCATTACTTGAAAAGAATAATAAAATTCAGACACTTTAAAGAGCTTTGCAATAGCATTTCTGTTAAGAACAAAATCATTTTATTCAATTATTATTGAATCATGATTGAAAATAATGAGAGCAATGAGTTATGCTTAAGTACTGTCATTCTTCCCAGCACATATAAAACCGTTATTCTAAAACAGATATATATATATATACCTTTATGTAATCTGATATATCCAGATATTCCCTAAATAGAATTAATTAAGCCTGAAATTAGTGTTAATCAACCATTCACTCAAATACAGTCCTAAACAATGTCAGTAATGACAAACTGAGAAACACATTAATGCATTCCGGTAGGGGAGTGGCTAGTAATCTCTAGAGCTGAGTTCTAAGTAGGAACAGCAAATAATTCCATTTATGTTACTAAAGCTACATATCCTTACATGTGTATATTTGACTCTGAAAATGTACAAAGCGAATCTGGGGAAATAAGTTCTAAAACTGTTACTTATAGGAAAAAGACTTGAGTACAAAGGGATTGAAGATGAATGTCGTTTTAATGCACGACTTTAGCATTTTGTGAAGTATCTTCTCCAAATTAAACATTAATTTGTAATTTTTCCAAAGCTTCCAAAGCTTTTTCAAATACAGCTCAGTAGTCGAGTGCTTGCTTAGAGGCCCTAGGTTCAATCCTTAGTACAGAAAAGAAAAGAAAAAGATGTCTATATTTTTTAATGCTTCGACCACAATCACTTTACCCATATGACAACTTCCGCTTTCATTGTTCCAAATAAATGAACAATGTTTAATTCCTCCTGGAAAAATATACATTATATATTGACAAACTGAAATTTTATATTCTGTGTGAAATAGAATGTGTTTTGCACTGTTTATAGTTTATAACATTATCTACATTGTCTTAATTCTGCTTTTAGCTGCAGCAAGTAAAGCCACTCCACAGAAGACTGGAATGACCAGCCACATTCTGGATGCACTCTCTCAGGGAAGTGACCCGCAGCAAGCACTGGAAAAGTGCGTCGCTTATTCCCCAGCTTTGGGGGATTATGCCCAGGTAAATGATTCTCGGGTCATGACTGTATGTAGGGAAATTGGTTCAGCTCTAGCCTGAGATCACATTGTAAGAACACAAACTACAGTCTTTCTCGCTCGCCATTTGAAATTGGGGGACGGATTCAAAAGATTGTTTAATATTATTTTGCACCAAGTGTTTTCCTCTTATTGGTCTTCCAACTGCAGCCCACAGACCATGTCTAACCCACCACCTGTTTTTGTAAATAAAATTTTGTTGGACATAGCCATAGCCATTGATTGACATATTTTTTGGTACTGTCATACTACAATGAAACAAGCTTGTATAGCCTACCAGGTTAGATATTTACAACCTGACTACAGAAAATCTCTAGTGACCTCTGGTGCACCTTAAAAGCTCAAGAAAATGCCTCTGTTCTTCATCATTGCTTAGCGATCTAGAAACATGTTCACATTTATAGGCACTACTTGTACTAATTTTTGTGAGATGTTTTTGTTTTTGGAGACAGAGTCTCACTATGTAGTCCAGGCTGGCCTTAAACTCACAATGTCTAAGCCTCCTGAGTGCTGGGGTTGTGTGTATATACCACCACACCCAGTTGGAGACTAATAGTCATTACATAAAAGAACAGCCATCCCCCTGGGTCTGCAGGCAGTATGTTCCAGGGCCCCCGTGGGTACCAAATCTGTGGGTGCTCAGATCCTCTCTGTACAGTGACATGGTGTTTGCTGTCTTCCTGGGCACATCCTCCTACATACTCTGAACCTTCTTCAGATTACTTATAATACCTACCACAATGTAAATGTTATGTAAACATACTCTTGTTTAGGAAACGATAGCAGAGAAAATGTATATTTTTTGGTATAGATGCAGAGTTTTTCTAATATTTCTAATGTGCAGTTGGTTAAATGTATGGATGCAGAACCCGTGAACATGGACCTGATTATTATTATACCTGATTATTTCAAAAAACATTTTGTGGCACAGCTTCAGCATGTCAGTTTTGCTTCGGCCCTTTCTCCTTCCATAGTAACTTAGTGGCTCAACCTGAGACTCTATATTGCTATGTGAATACTGTCTGCTATGGGTGCCAAGTCTTCCGACAGTTTTCATTCTTCTTGGGGAGCCAGCTCCTCAGCTCTGGGTCACCCACTGGAACAGTGCCTCCACTTTTATTTCCTTGCAGCAACTCTGTTTGCCTCATCTGTCTCTAATAAATGTAGAAAAGAAATTCAATGTTAATTCACTTAGCACAGTTGATGTCTGGTTATGCTTTTATAATGGAGTGCTAGAAACACAGCTTAGATTCTGAAAAAAATAAAAGGCATAGCTTGTCATTTGTGAAATATTTAGTAAAGACTCTCATACACTGGGAAAGATAGATGGAGAAATAGGGTGGACAATTATGTGATCAGGTAGCGGCTTACTTGATTTAAAGAACAGTGGTCCCAGCTGATGTCCTAAGGAAGGCATTCTCTTGCTTTCTATGGTTCGTCTTTGTTCATGTATTTAATAATGATATAGATAAGTACGTTGTACATTGATTATACATAACAAAAGTTAAGAAATTATTGGAGATAAAATCATTTATTAAGGCTAGAAACCAAAATTTTCAACTAAAACTGAGCAGATTATGTCATATTTACAGGTAAATATAATTCAGATAGTAAAAATAATGTAAGATAATATGTAAATACTTGGTAAAAATCTTCATAATCTACTGTTAAAATATTATTTACAAAATGTAGTCCTGTACAATTACAACTTTTGTTTCTTGTTGGAGAACAAATTTACTTTTAAACAGGAGAAGCACAATACATTTATAAGAATTTAGTTAAATGTGTGTTTTCGGCCTCAAAGCCCATTTTGTCCTGAGATTTTTATTTATTTTATTTCACTTTTGAATTTAGCCTCATTTAGCCCTGCAGTCTTGGTTCCTAGATTGCCATGGCTAGCTGATGTGGCTGTATCTGTAGAGAGATGCTTACTTACCCATGGGGATGGTCTGTGGTAGAGCCCATCCTTGCTCTGCATCCCCCTGCCTCTGCCCTGCCCATGCAGACACACCATGGAGGTGTGACTCCTCCCTCACTCAGTGTCCGATGGGACAGCTCCTGCTTCCACCTCATCTCACCCAGTGAGATGTGTTCTCCCCTCTCTTCCATCCTTATTAAGTAGATTAAGTGTTATTAATGAGTTAGAGTAAATGGAACAAAGTAGTCATGTGTTAGGAGTTCCTCCTGCTGCTTTCTCTCCTGGAATGGAGGAAGAGGTTTAAGGAAAAGGAAGCAACAGCCTCTGTTTTGCTTTCGGTACTTGTTACTTGCTTTGCAGTGTGCTTTCCTGCTGCGATGACAAACACCATGACCAAAAGCAACTTGGAGAAGAAAGGGTTTATTTGGCTTACACTTCCAGATCAAAATCTACCACTGAAGAAAATCAGAGCAGGAACTCAAGGCAGGGACCCTGGAGGAATGCTGCTCTCTGGCTCACTCAGCTGGCTTTCTTGTGTACCCTGGGCCCACCTTCCTAGGGCTAGTGCCACCCACAGTGGGTTGGGCTCTCCCACAACAATCATCAGTCAAGACGGCTTCTTACAGACATGACCACAGGCCAATCTGATCTGGGAAATACCTCAGTTGAGGTTCCCTTTTCCCAGGTGACTCTAGGTTGTGTGAAGCTGACAATAAGAACCAAGCAGGGCACAATATAAGCATTTATCATCACCACCACTGCCATCATCATTTGCAGTGCTGGGGGTGAGCCAAAGGCCTTGTGCATGTTAATCAAGCACTCGACTCCTGAGCTACATCCCAACTCTGTTTAAAAGAATATTTTTAAATATATGCTAGGCAATATAAACAGTCTTTCCAACATGCCTGTGAGTTTAAAACAATCTCCTCTGTGATGCAGGTGGAGAAGCACAAGGGGGTAAGGAACCTTCCACATCTTACTGTTTCTCTGATTTCAAACTCCATGTTGGTCTACTGTCCCCTAGAAACTATAAGTACAGGTTTTTGTGCATAAAGATTAGGAGAGATAGGTATGTCCTGTAATGGATGAAATAAAAATTTTTAATGAAACTATCACATTGAAGAATGTGATATTTGGCATATCTAGTGTTAGTGAAGTTGTTTGTAGAAGCCCCTAATAAAATCTGGACTACATTTAAAAATATAACTTTTATTTGAAGGTTTTGGAAAATGACCAGCAGAAGCTGAAGGGAGTCAGGTCTTGAAAGAGGAGAACTTCACTGGAGAAAAGTCATGTTTCCGTGACTCTGCTCTCTATGCAAACCTTCAGTCTTACTGGCCTGAGGGGTTACATACAGAGTAAGTCTTAGGACTGTTAGCAAAGCCATGAAGTAAGTGGGAGGTGCTGAAACTGAGGTAGTTACACGGGTTAGGGCCTCAAAATCCTTACCGAACTCAGCCCAAACATACTTGGCTGACCCCTGAACCATTGGCATGAGGGAGACTCCAGGGGCCCTGAGGGAAAACCACAGCTAGATGAGTAAAAACACCAAGAAGACAGTCAGCTCTACCACAGAGGAGTTTGGAGTTTGAGCTCAGCAAATTTAACTTCTTCTAGAATAAAATATTCACTTCAGAGGAAGATAATGGAATCCATAATTTTTACAATTTTTTATTCACAATGTCCAGTAAGTAAAAATTACTAGAGAACAGAAAACAGGCAAAAAAGAGAATTTTGACTGTTAATTGTTAAAAGACTGAGTAGCAGAGCACATGCCGAGCATATGTGAAGGCCTGGGTCTCTCTCTCTCTCTCTCTCTCTCTCTCTCTCTCTCTCTCTCTCACACACACACACACACACACACAGAAAAAGAGAGAAGTGAACAGAAACTGACCCATGATGATTCTTAAGTGTTTGTAGACAATGATATTAAAGCATATTATAAATATGTTCAACAATGTAAAAGAAAGTCATCATAGAAAGGGAATCTCAGCAGGAGATACAAATTTTTGAAGAACTGAATAATTCTAAGTCTGAAAGAAATTTTTTCTGGCATTATAAAGTACAGTGTGCGCCCCTATCCTCAGGCCTCTTGGGGGTGGGTCCATTGCAGAGCCCTCCGCGCCTGGTCTCCCCCCCGCCTCATTCACCCTTCCATCTCCCCCGCTGTTCTCTGCTCCTGGTTTGGGCCCTGCGCCATTCCTGGTCTTGGGTCCCCAGACGCCTGGGGAACTGGTGCTGCTTCCTGATCCTTTTCGCCCAGGCCAGCTTGATACCTTCCTTGGGCTCCAGGAGCACTGCTTCGGGGGGACCTGGACCCACCCTCACCTCTCCCTGCTTCCCAGACCTGCACCACTGGCTAATTCTCCTGGCCCGCTTTCCTGCCCTCGGGCCTCTCTTGGGGTAAATCTACTGCGCAGCCCTCCGCGCCTTGACTCCCCCAGCTGCGCTCACCCTTCCATCTCCCCGGCTGTTCTCTACTCCAAGCTTGGGCCCTGTGCCATTCCTAGTCTTGGGGCCCCAGACACCCGGGGAGCCAGTGCTGCTTCCTGACCCTTTTCACCCGGACCGGCTTGGTGCCTTCCTTGGGCCCCAGGAGCACTGCCTCTGGACCCAGGCCCGACCTCACCTCCCTCTACTTCCCTGGTCCTGCAACACCCGCCAGCCTCTTTCTGGGGCTCAGAGGCTTACCTTTCCTCTCCCTGATCCTTTGCATCCAGTATAACCCAGCTACTCAATCCACTCCCTGGGTA